GCAACAGTGGGCTCAAATATAACAAAAGTTGTGAGGATTACACTGGACTGGGCAATGTTTGTTCTGTTGTACATAGGGTTGCTAAGAGTCAGAATTCTTTTCATTGTTTTCTGCTGATTTGTCCTATAGTGAAATCTTTCCTCTAGTGCGTGGTTTGTAAGCTTTTATTGTAAATGCTGTGAATTATTCTTCAGTAGGGCTGTTGTGTGAGTCTCATTTCTGGGTTGTTGAGCTACTTTAGAATTACTCCTGCTGAAGTTTTTAAGTAGTTCAGGACTAAATTTTCACTTTTAATTTCCTATCTTGGTATTTCTTTACTATTGTTTGGACTGTACATCTACTTTGGTATAAGATCAATTTTTAGGAGATTTATTTTACCTGTGTGGACCCGTGTGGAGTGGATAACATGCTTCCTTGCAGTTTCCATGGCCTGTTGAGTTATTTTTTCATAGAGGGAGCAGCTTAACATCACAAATTTATAAAAGGATCTCAATTTCAGTTTCCAAATTCACGTAAGAACTTTTTGTATGTCTGAATTGGCATTGGACTCCTGGTGTGGCGCTATAGGATCAACACTGGGCTGTGAACCACAAGGTTGGCAGTTCAAACCCACCAGCTGCTCCTTGAAACCCTATACAGGGTTGCTATGAATTGGAACCGACTCAGTGACAATGACAACAAATTGGCATTAACACCCAGACTCCTTAGGCCTTCATGTACTACTGCTGGCCTTGCTCTTGGCTCAGGCAGTTATTACTCTGACCTCAAGTTTACATTTTTAATCCTGGCATCTGAGATTTTTTTTTTTTTTACCCTCTGTGGCTATGTTAAAAAATAATGTTTTTTACTGTTTGGTTGTTGCTGTTATATATTAACCTAGTATTTATCTGTGCTTGCAGGGATGAGGAGAGAGACGTAGGAGGTTTTCTTTCATTCATTTAAGCATGTTGTCTGATGTTTTGTATGTATTTCTTTAGAATAAATTTTTAGGATTTGAACATTTTGTGTTTAAAGGATGTGCAGAATTTAAGTATTGTTAGTTAATGCCAAATTACTTATCATTTAAATGTAGCCGTTCTACCAGCATTATGTATGATTTGTTCATTAAAAAATATTATCAATAGAAAAATTGTCAATCAAGAAAAAAATAATCAATCGCAGGGCAACAAATTATATCAGACTGTTTTAATTTGCCTATTTCCAAATTGTAGAATTGAATCGGCCATCTGCTTTTCATTTGTTTGTATTCTACAATTTGCTTATTTAATATTCCTTACCTTTTTGTCTATTAGATTTCCTATCTTATTTTTGTTAAGATGGTGGGACTCTTTAATTATTCTGGGTATTAATTTCACTACAATTGCTTGTATTTTTTTATTTCAGTTGCTTGTTTTTTATTATGGTTTCTTTCTTCACACCCAAAATTAAAATTCTTAATTTTATCTCTTAAGATTTTTTCCTTTGTGTTTTTCCGCCTTCTTTTTTAAGGATGGCAAGTCCTGGTGTGGCATTATAGGATAAGCACAGTACTGCTAAATGCAAAATTGGCGGTTCAAAACCACCAGCCACTCCTTGGAAACCTATCTATCCAGGGTCTCTGTGAGTCGGAACTGACTTGATGGCACTTCACAACAATAACTACAACACAACACAACAATATTACCCATTTTGTGCACTCTTTCAAGGAACCTTAATGGTACAGTAGCTGTGTGCTCAATTGCTAACTGGAAGGTTGGCGTTTCAAACCCACTAGCTGCTCCATGGGAGAAACGTGTGGCAGTCTCTGTTTCCGTAAAGATTTACAAGCTCAGAAATCCCACAGGGCATTCTACTCTATTCTATAGGGTTGCTATGAGTTGGAATCTACTTGGTGACACGAGTTTGGTTTGGGCTTTTTACTTTTAGCTTATTAAAATAGTACTCTGTATTTTCTTGTTATAGTTTTATTTTTTCAATGTTAACCTCAAATTCATCTTGAATTCATTATTTTGGTGAATGATGTTGTATAGAAATGTAAATCTAGTCATTTATCTTAGTGCTGTTTATTGAATAATAGTTCATCTTTCCTTACTGTTTTTGAACTGCTTCCTTTCTTATAAACTGAATTTTTGTATGTAAACGGTTTTGTTTCTAGGCTCTGTGTTCTATCCACCAATCGATTTGTCTATTTCTGTGTTAGTACCACACTTTATAAACTATAATATTTGGGAGATTTACTTTATCATTGTTCTTTTTTTGTAATTGGGAATACACACAGAGGAACATACACGGTTCAAGAATTTCTACAGGTACAATTCAGTCACCTTGCTTATGTACTTTTTTTTTTTTTTAAGTTTTTATTGTGAATTGAGTGATAGCTTACATGGGAGAACATCAGCTTTACATTCATCCTATTGTATTTCATTTCATTGCAATGATTACAATCCCCTCCATGCGTCATCATTCAACAGCATTTGCTTCCATTCCCTTTGTTTTTGTTTGTTTGTTTTTGGATGTACACCGAAGCACTCAGGAATATATAACTATTCAAACAACCAAAGGGTAATACACCCCGCAAGCCTGCCCCGTGGCTGTCAGCACACAGTTCCTCTCCCTCCCTGAGTCCTGAGTCCCCAGCCGCTCAGTCTCTCCATGTCATTGTCTCTGCCTCCCTCTCTGGATAGGGTCTTACACTTCGCTCTTCTCCCTTGATGGTCCCAGGGTCCTCGGCTCCTGGACTGCAAGATCAACCACTACCTTCCTATTGTTACAAAAAGTCTACCTTTACATTTGCAATACTCACAATCAGTCCTGATAGCAATTATTCACTATTGAATCACTAGAGTCTTATCCCCATCTTTCTTTCACCAACCCATCCAGACAGGTTGAAAACCACTCAGTGGAGAGTCTGCCTTCCCCCGCACCCTCTGAAACTAGGCCCCCTCTTGAAAACGTATAAGCCAATCACTTCGTGTCTTTGTAGCCCCCTTATTTTGAGTAGCCAAAGTCTCTGGAGATCTGGATGTGGTTCAGGCTTCTACCTATAGTATTATGTATTGCAAAGGCTCTGCAGGAAGCCTCCTTCGCTACTCTTTTTTTTAATCCCCCCTCCAGTCATTGTTGTTGTTGTATCTGTCACACAACTTTTGCTAATTCAACCTTTGACAGGTATACAGCTTATCATCAGTAGTTTACATTAATCATGGTTTCAACCCTACCCTTAATGTGATTTTCTATCACCCTGAGCAAAAATTTTGTGCTCGTGAGCAGTAACCCTTCCTTAACCCCTCACTGAGTCCTAATGTGATAAACACTGGACTGCTAACTGCAAGGTCTGCAGTTCCAACTCACCAGTCACTCTCAGAAACCCTTTACAGGGTCGCTATGAGTCGGAATGGACTTGGTGGCACACAACAACTCCCCCCCCCCAGTCGCTCTTTGTTACCCCCAGTTTATTCCTGTCTAGGAGCCCCCAAATTGCTCTTTGTTACCCCCCAGTATATTCCTGTCTAGGAGCCCTGGTGGTGGGCTAGGTTGCAAGTTGGGCTGCTAACTGCAAGATCCAAGAGTTCAAACACTCCAAGGCGAAAGATGATTTACAGCCTCTAAAATCCTAGATATCAGTTCTACTCTGTCCTCTGTGAGTTAGAGCTGACTGGATGGCAGTGGACTTGGTTTGGATCTCTTTTCTTTTCTATTTCTACATATTTTCTCTTTTAACTGAAGTGTGATTCTGCTTACGAAGTATTATAAAGAACCTGATTGAAATTTTATTGAGATTATAGTTGCATCTTTTTAAACTTGAATTCTATTCAGGATGTCTCTTCAATTTTCTTCCTTTCTCTTTTTAAATGACTTTTCAAAACAGTTATATGAAAGTCTCACACTTTTTTTTTTTTTCCTTTTAGCTGTTCTAATGAATTATCGATGGTGGCTGGAATGAATGGTTCACTTTGGACTTGTCCAAGTTGAAACAGACTCATGAAACATACTTTCCAAATTATTTTCTTCTGCCATGTTGGGTTGTCCCATCCTATGAGTTTAGATTCTTCCATAAAACCAGAACTTTAGAATAAGCCCTGGACTGCTAACCACAAGGTTAGCATTTCAAATCCACCAGCTGTTCTCAGAAACCCAATATAAGGTTGCTATAAATTGGAATTGATTTGATGACACACAACAACAGGCTATTTGAAAAAAATTAAACAAGGTCTATCCTAGTACATGGAGTCCTGGTGTGGTGCTGTGGGTTAATGTTCCAGACTGCAAAACCATTTGAATTACAAGGTTGGTGGTTCAAGCTCACCAGCTGCTCTTTGGAAACCCTATACAGGGTCTCTATGGGTCGGAACTGACTTGATGGCTCTTAACAACAGCAGCCAATCCTAGTACATGGAATATTGGTGTGGTGCTGTGGGATAAAGCACTGAATCACAAGGTCAATTTGAACCATAATGTTGGCGGTTCAAACTCACTAGTTGCTCCTTGAAAACCTTATACAGGGTCACTATGAGTCGGAACCGACTGGATGGGTACTTAACAACAACAAAATCCTAGCACATATCTACTTTAGCATGAATTCTAGGTAACCCAGTGATATGTTCCCATCTAGTGAAGTCCCTAGATTTCCCAGTCACTTGTTCTTGTATCCCAGCTCATTCCTTATTCTTAGCTGTTGTTGTTGTTGTTAAGTACCATTAAATCAATTCTGACTCATAACAACCCTGTATAGGGTTTCTGAGGAGTGGCTGGTGAGTTTGAACTGCTGACCTTGCGACTCAAATGACTTTGGGGTCCAGTGTTTATCCTACAGCGCCAACACCAGAACTCCAAATAGTACCCTTCAGTTTTGTGTCAGCCCTCTTCTGTCCTTCCCTCCCTTCTTAACCCTTCTGCCTCTACTTTCTCCACTCCGTTTTCTCCTCTTCCTCCGTTTACTCCCCGTTTTTCTTATTTTTCTCTTTTTCGTAAGTACTGTGGACCTGAGCAGGCATTAACTTCTGACCTCTGCCTATCCCCAGCCAGGACATCACAGGTGATATTTACTATTTCAACTTTGCCAATGGGCAATCCATGTGGGACCATCCGTGTGATGAGCACTATCGGAACCTGGTCATCCAGGAGCGAGGAAAGCTGCCAACGGGAGCCATTAAGAAGAAAGATAAGAAGAAGAAAAAGGAAAAGAAAGACAAGAAGGACAAAGAGACCTCCAAAAGTCCCCCGGTGAGTCAGCGATTGTTAAACTTCTAGAGGGGCCCAGACTGAGATCTGACAGGATGTGGGAACAGGAGAAAGACTTGGATCAACTTCTAAAAAATCAGGCACTGAAACCCTATGGAGCACAGTTCTATTCTGACACACATGGGTTGCCAAATGCTTATTAGGTGTTTTTAGATGGGCTGGGAGATTAGGATTAATAATATCATAAATTCTTTATGGTACATTATCTGAATTGTACCTGGCTTCTGGTAGATTTTTCATTCAGCTTCTAGAAGTTACCAGTATATCTAAAGAATTCCTTAATTTTTTTGTCCTTGGGAAGCACAAGCCACATAATAGGGTGAGAGAGAGGGTGACAGAGAGCTCTGCAGAGGATGGTACTTTGCAGTGGTTTAAGTAGTGAGGCCATCTGCTCCTCTGAGAGTGGTACAGGGAGCAGTTGGCCCAGGCCTGGAGGGCTTAGGATGAGCAGACTGTCATTCCTCGTCTTTCAGAGTCAAGTTTCCCTGCAGTGGCTTCTTGATTTGTCTTCCAGTGGTGTGAATTCCTAGATAGCACGTGTCACCATAGTTCCGTTGTCAGAGTGCCAGTGCCTTCAAGATCCCAAAAGAAAAGCTTCAGGCTTTCCTTCCTCCTATGGATTGTCTTTGTTGTTGCCAGTGTCTTGGTAGCTTTTTATTATTTTTTTAAGTGTCTTAGAGAATCTGTGGGAGTTCGGTGGCTCCGTAGGATAAGTACTGGACTGTGAACCACAAGGTCAGTGGTTGAAGCCCACTAGTACTGCGGGAGAATGATGAGGCTTTCTGCCTTCGGAAAGTAAAGATTTACAGCCTCGGAAACCCTCTTCAGGGTCACTATGAGTCAGAACTGACTTGACAGCACTTAGCAACAGCAACATAGGAGATAGAGTTTTATTTTTCTGTCAACATAACAGGCAGGAGGTACTGTAGCGGTGCCACTTGGTGGGATCAACCAGAAATCAGATCCCTTGTCTCCCATTGTTTCCTACCCTCTACAATGTGGTTCTCCTCTGCCTGGTCAAAACTAGCTCAGTGCTATTTTTATTTGGAATTCAAAGTACCTTTCCCCATGATGGCTTTATTTGCCCCACCAGAATGTCTGAACTTAGAAGGCAAAGCTCTGGCCCTCATGTTAAGGTAGAGAAGCTAAGGCTGGGAGCTGTGCTGACAAGAGGCCTGAGTTCTCTCAGAGCACTGTGGCAGTGCAGGGAAATGGAGGAAACTCAGGCCTTCTTCCCTTCACCCAGGTGTGGGCAAGCAGGTCACTGTGAGGAGAAGGGATATGGTAACACAGTTGAACCAGGTGGGAAGCACTGGTAATACCTTTCCTGCCCTTACTCTGGTCCAGTTGTTTTACTCTTATGTTGCTAGTCTGATTTCCCAGCAGACTGATGCTCACTTTTCAGTGAAGATGCTGAATTTCATCTTCGGTCTGTTCTGGATTTGAAGGGTTGCCGATAAATTGATCCTTTTTTATCATTTCCAGGCTCCACAGAGACTCCTCCCTCCTCCCCTGCTGCTCTCCCCTTCCCCCCAGTTACACTTATGGTCCTGAGAAACAAGTTAACAAACCCATTCCTCTAGGTCAGAGGTGGGGAATGTCTGGCCCGTGGGCAGAAGGCCCATGAAATCATGGCCCTGCCAAAGCAACTGCAGTTCTAACCATCACATTGTTATTGTTAAGTGCCGTGAAGTCAGTTCCAACCCATAGTGACCCTGTATAGGGTTTCTGAGGAGCAGCTGGTTAGCTTGAACTTCAGACCTTGCAGTTCAAACGACTTTGCAGTCTGACGCATTAACCCACAGTGCCGCACCAGGACTCAGTCATCACGTTGTTGTTGTGAAATGCTGTCGAGTTGGTTCCGACCCATAGCCACCCTGTATAGGGTTTCCGAGGAGCAGCTGGTGAGCTTGAACCACTGACCTTGCAGTTCAAACGGTTTTGTAGTCTGGCACATTAACCCACAGTGCTATACCAGGACTCCTCAGCCATCACATTAATTGTTTGACCAAATACAGCAGGCCAGTTTTTAGTTGATAATTTTGTATGGCCCACGAATGGTTATAAACATCCAAATGGCCCTGGGCAGGAAAAAGGTTCCCCACCCCTGCTCTAGATAGAGAAAGGAGAGCAGGTAATTTCCAAATAAGTTATCGAATCATATAATGGGCTCCTCATTAGCCCAGGATTGGTTGAAATGACAGCTGGGTATTTGGGCAGATTGACAAAAGATGTGCAGAGGGAATGAAGTTAGGATTCTGGGGTGGAGGGGCAGGTGGCAGACTTAGTTGCAGGTATGTGACCGCAGTCATAGAGCTCCTTGTTCAAAACGGTTCCTTGTGTGGGTTTAAGGAGTGAGGTTAATTGGACAGCCCTGAGCTATCAGTCTGGTTATCAGGACTGAGAGCAGGCACTTCAAGCTTGGTTTTGTCCAGGGGTTAGGTCTGAGCCAAGTAGGTATCCTCGACTCGGGGGCCTGGGCTCTCTGGAGCTATGCACTCACAGGCTAGGTAGGTCTTCGTATGAATGTTTGTAGAGGGTGGTCAGTTTTTGAGCGTTTCCTCTAGCTCTGTGATTTTATGATTTGTAGACCAGCTTATCCCTTTGGTAGAAGACACCAGACCAAGGTTCAGCACATTGGTTAGTCTCTCCCTTTTCTCCCTTCTCGGGACGTGTCTCGTGATCCTTGATGAGGTTGGTGGGTTTTATAAAATTGATCAGCCACAGAATCTGAGCCCTGGATGGTACCTTAAGGGTAATCTAACTGGTGAGGTTATTCTGATTGGTAATTTCAGACTTTTGGTAGTAGGAAAGCCCTGTCTTCAGACCTCTCTCCTTTCATAAATGTCTAGTATCTAGAAAAGAAGTGGGGTTGCTCTGGCTAAAGTTGGGGGTATGGATCTTGTCATGTTCCCCTACCCCCGCCACATGTGCACGTGATAGTAACCCCAGAGGCACCTCATGGGATCACCTTCCCTCCTCTGGTTCTGTGCAGTGAGATTTGAGAGCCATTGATCTAGCCCATGCTTCTCTTTGTAACTAAGAAAACTGGGGCCCAGAAAACAACGTATATTCAGTCTAAGGGAGGTTTTCTTTCCTCTTTGGTTTGTACTTTACTTTAAATGGCGGGTGGGTTTCTGCCAAGGGCTGAGGTAGCAAGTGTAAATCAGAACTACTTTGTCTTAGTTTTCTCTGCATGTTTATATAACCCATCTAGGAATCACAGCCCGAGCAGGGACTTCTGCCTTCCACCTCCTTTCTCCGTGGCCCGGCCCCTCTCCCAGCACCTGGGCTTGCTGGTTTGGACCTAGACCAAGAGATGCAGGCTAGAAGTGAGGGCTCTTTTAAGAAAGGGAAGAGCTTATGCATGCTGGGCGACAGCCCCTGGCCGCTCATGTACTCCCTGCCCAGCAAGCTGCAGCCACTGTCCAAAGGACAAGCTTCGCGAACCTACCAGATCTTTGCTGATGTGGAGAAAATCTTAGGCAGGGCCCCAGCCCAATGCAGGACAGAATTAGGTCATCAGCAGGGTCTGGAGAAAGCCCAGAAGCCAACAGAGAAAATCTACTTGGGGTTTTCAGACCCTGAAATTGAAGAACTGGAAATGAGGACCAGGCAGCAGAAACCCAACACTCCGAGCCCTGAGAACATGGAGCCTCTCCCGAGTGGGCAGAATGTGGTAGAAAACAGGAGTCAGGCTTCTGTCCACTCAAAGCTTTCAGAAACCATCCAGGGCCCGCAGCTGAAAGGGGAGCAGCACACCCAGAGCTCAGCGCAACTGAGCTCCACAGGCCCCGGTGGGGACAAGGGCCAGAGCGCCATCTCTTTGCCATCCCCTGGGGAGGAGGCCTCCCTGTCCTCTTGTTCTTCTGACCACATACTGTCTACCAGGAAGAGCAAGCCTCTGTTAGGCAGCAGTCCAGCGGAAGACCTGAGTTTGCAGGGAGTCCCTGGGGAAAGTGGGAACATTGGCAGGGGAAAGAGGCGGAGAGAGCCTCCAGGGCTGTGGATGGGACAGGTCTCCCAGCTTGTTAACAAGGACATCCCAGGGAGCAGCCAGGAAGCTGAGCCTCTTGACCCAGGGGCCTCAGCTGAAGATCCACCTCAGGGAGGCTTTCAGATTCCACCTGATGCACTGGCATCAAAACCAGCTCCGAATGCCCCTTCAGGGAGTGCCCCTGACGTCTCACCTGCCAGTGAGAAGAGACAACCCCCCGAGTTTCCAGGTGAGAAGCCTCGTGTGCCTGAGCCTGATGTGGAGAGCATGAGCAACAGTAGCCTGGCCTCACACCTGGGTTCTCAGGTCCTGCGTGAGGTGAACAACTTCCCATGGGACCTGCAGAGCTCACCGGGATCTGAGCTGAGAGTGGATCAGTCAGTTCCTGGACCCGGAGCTCAACAAGCCAACCTGTTCCCAGTGCCCCAGCTGCCCCACTCCCAGAGCTCTGCAGAAGAGCAGTCAGAGAGTGAAGACTACTCTGAGGATCAGAGGTTCTACCAGCACATCCTACAGATGGTCAAGATCTCCAGGCGGCTGGAGGGCCTGGGGCTGCCTGAGAGCAGGCAGGAAATGCCATGCAGAGATATCGCCAGCATGGTCTGTTGCATGGCAGCTGAGTCTTCCAGAATATCTAGTGAGGGCGAACATGAGGCCATCAGAGCCCTGGAGAGGGACTTGTGGTTTCCGGCTTTGGGGCCAGAGCTGCGGCAGCATCCTCAGGAGATGGCCCTTGCTCCTGCTGAGGAGGCCTCTCAGCAAGCCAGTTTCCAGTCAAGCAACAGCCCCGTCAGGCAGGGGCTAATTGAGCTGAGCGCCAGCAGAGGGCTATCTGCAGAGCCAGGCAAGATGCAGCTTCCTGACCAGGTATGCTTGGTAGAGAGCTTGGCCTAAAGGCGCCTGTGAACCTAACAGGAGCATAGCTGGTTGAGTTTATGCGTTAACACAGCCATCAGGTTTCCATTCCTGTTAGGCCAGGGCCTTGGTAAATCGAGAACCATAACTACCCAGGATGCCCATGTTGTGGGATGACGTGTCGTTCATGTAAAATAGGGACTGAGTCTCAATGACTTCCCTTCCAGATATGGAACTGGAGGTCATGGGCAGTTCACTTAAGCTTTGAAGATGATGATTCTTTTGAGGTTGAGCAAGGTAGTGCTGATCCTGGCACTCTTGCAGAATTTAGGTGCCTTCCTGGCATTTGGGAAGTCTTTTCCATCAGCTGATGCTACAGAGAGGCCCTTTCAAGGAGGTACCCCACACCAAGCTCCAAATGTAATCTCTTACTCGAGTCCCACAGAAACAGTGAGTTAGTGCTCTCACGAGGGTCAGGAGCCGAGACACTCACTCTGCCATCTGGTAAGCTGCTTCTGCTCCTTGCCTCCCAGGGTCCCTAGGAAACCCTGTGAATAACCCATCTCCAGCTTGTGCAAGCCCCTTTTGTGACTTCACTTCCTTTCCCACTGGGACTCGCCAAAGAGCTGGGCTTGCCCTGTCATTCTGACCCTTTGTCTCTTTAAAGAATCACACCATAGTCTTCATTCAGAAGAAATCAAGTTGGATTAGAAACCACGGGAAGGATCAGTCTGAATTTCCCGGCTATTCTTTTGCTGTTGCCCAGCTGTGGCGTTACCCAGTTGTTACCTCTGGTTCCTAATTGCTGGCGTGCCCTGGTTCTCCGCTAGCTCTAATAACTACTGTAGTACTATAAATATCAGATAAGCTGCAGATTATCCTGAAAGTTTTAATTAGCCCAATGGTAGCAAGCTTATCCGCTCTGAAGGACAACGCCATGCACAGCCCCATCCTCAGAGTTAATGGCCATCTATAGACGCTGATCAGCTAGGAGCCAGGAATGTATAATTTCCCTGCTAACCACTGATTTGGTAAAGGCCTGGGAGAACAAAGCCCTCAGCATGCCTGTCTCCCTCCCTCAAACCCTCAGAACGTTAGCAAATTAGTAGCCATGTTAGGAATCTGTAATTTTCCATAAATACAGTGTGGGAAGAGTTTTGCTTGCTGCTACATCAGGGTCAGTTGGAATAGTTAGGCCTGAAGCTAGGAGAAGCAGGCCCTGCTTGACAGTTCACCTGAGGCAAGCTTTCCTAGCTCTTTCTCCCCAGGCAAGAGAAAGGTATAAATATTGGCTCAGAGGGAGAATTGGTTCCCAACCCCATCTCTGCTCTGTGTGGACCCAGTGACTTTAGGCAAGCTTCTTAACCTTGCCCGTCTTTGTTTGCACATATGGGTAGAAGTCAAGCCTACCTCAGGTTGTGGTGAGAGGAAGTTGAGACTTTGCATGTGAGGGGCTCAGCCTAGTACTTGGTGTTTGAGTAATGGGCTACTTGTATAGCTGTTAGCTCCTTTTCTCCCTATCAGAGATACTCTGTATCAGGTGAGGCTGAGGCTGTGGGTGACCAGGCAGCCAACTTCACTCCTCAGCCTGACCTCTCCTGGGTTTCCTTTGCTCTCCAGGATTAGCAAGGAATGGGAACTATGTTTTCAAGTTTGAGAAATGATTTTTAAAGGGTTCATTCAAAATTGTACCCAGAATGCTATCCCTACCTCTACTTCTGATAAGCCCAAATGATTGTCATGTGGGTCCCTGTAATAACAGCAATTCTGCAACATTGGTGTAGCCCTGGACCACTCATAAAAGTCTCTTGCATTCATTATTTCATTTGAACCTGTCAGTGAACCTCCTTAGATGTCAAGGCCCGTATCCTCTTTGTCCTACCAATGAGCAAACTCTGAGGAGTCTGTGGCGGGAAGCCTTTGTTTGACCCTCCTGTGAATAGGGAACTGAAGGAACTAGTTAGTCCCATCACTGTTCTTACAAGCCTCCTTTCAGCTGCCTCCTCCTTCCTCAGCGGTGTAGAAGGGAAAGAAAGTTCTTTTGTTGCTAATACATATTTCTTCATGATTAATATTTATTTTATCCAAGTAATACAAAGGAGCTTCAAAACGTTCATGGAAAACTCCCATTTTCTTTTAATTCTATTCTTTCATGAACTTTTTGAAGCCCTCTTGTACAACATGCCCATAGTTGGAAAAGCCAAATGGTACTAACTTGTTCCCAAGGTTGTATAACAAGCAGTTCTCCTGTGCTTACCCCTCTCCCGGAGTTTGCTTCTACAGCTCTAGGTAGGATGCTTCGATTGCTTTTTCTTGATTCATCAACTTTTGTTTTGATCTCCGGAGACTTTTCGTGATGGCAGATGAGGATTTTGTCTCTGCTTCCTCCTCCTGAGAGGAGGGGAGGGGAGAGCAGAGCAGAGCCCTATGCAGCATCTGGCAGATGTGAAAGAAGTGTTGACTCTCAGACAGCAGCAGAGTTATGAGAAGCAGGAAGCCAGCCTGTGATTTCTCACACAGTTGGCACAATGGTAATTTCTGGATGTTGTGTTTCATTAGCAGCCTCTGAGCGGAGGTGGTTTACATTTGAGCAGGCAAGATTTAGATGTTTTATTTTTATATCTGTCCCCAGCACTCCCAGAGCCTGCAGTCTCGTGGGTTTGTAATGAGAGGTTTTTTGTTGCCCAGGCCCTGGGTTCCTCATTAGCTCCAGTCCACGTTCCTCTTGGGGGCCTGGCTCCATTACGAGGCCTTGTGGATGCCCCACCCTCTGCTCTTCATGGACTGCAAAGTGCAAATCTGGGAAGTTTGGTGGAGTGCAGTAAGCTTGGAGAAATTGTGTTGGTAAGTACTTTCTCTCGTGTTCAGTGTGATTAGTTACTATAGGACCTCCTGTGTCTCAGGCCTGTAGGTGAGAAATAGCACAGGCTGAGGGTTCCAAATTCATCATCTCGCTCGGGAAGCTTGTCCCACCTTCTGGATGCAGACCCTGGGCAGTATAGAATAGACCTCTGCCACAGAGATATCTTGGCTCCTCTCCTCACTGTGCATCCAGGACAGTAGGTCATGGAGAAGAGCAGTGAGGGACAGCTTCATGAACACAGTGGGACTACATCTAGGAGACGTTTAAGTAGACAGAGAGTGGGGGAAGCATGCAGAAGGCTGTTCTATTGACTTCCCTCTCTATTTTGGAGCCTTCACAGGGTCTCAAGACTTCTGCATTTACAAAAGGTCTCTTGGGATCCATTCATGAGGATCAGAACATGCTCAACCTCTTGGCGTTGGGGGAGGAGACCAACGAGGAGGAGGAGGAGGAGAGTGATAACCAGGTAATGATGAAGTCCTCCCTCTGGTTTGAAAGCTTCTGTGCCATTCTGAAAATAAGTAAAAATGGCGTGTCAGACACCACTTCTCTTCCTGACCAGTCTCTGTACTTCCTAGGTCTAGCCCAGAAAGCATAGTCAACATGGGGCCTCTTGGCCACTTGCACGGCACGAAGCATTGTTCACAGTCGGTGAAGGACTGTTTCGCAAGGCTGTGTTTGTGAAGGTTCTTCCTGAGAGTCCCCTGAAGCCCACACTAGGCACTGGCTGCTGCTCAACAGTGTCCCACTTCTCCTTCACCCTGTCACCCTGGGCTGACCACTTTCCTTAGACTGACCCCTTGTAATTCCTTTTTCCAGAGTCTCCGCAGCTCAAGTGAGCTTCTTAAGAACCTGCACCTGGACATTGGGGCCTTGGGGGGTGACTTTGAGTATGAGGTAAGAGCCTGAAGCCCCTGCAATCAAATGCTCCAGTCTGGTATGTCCCTCTTTCTCCACTAAGCCTTATATGTTGTGGGGCGCATATTTGGAAAGAGAACCATTTCACCCCAGTCTTGTCCAGGTGGGATTTCTGGGTCTTGATGAAGGACAGGGTTAATAAAGAACCACCATTCATTGAATGCTTCCATATAAGGCATGTTGCCAAGTGCTATCAGTCAGTCAGACATAAAATGAGATATGGTTTGCTGCTCTCTAAGATCTTATTGTCTCATAGAAGAGACAATGAAATGGCCAGACACAAGGTACCATGTGATGAGGCCACAAAGAAGGTAAAACAGTGTGTGGGAGGGGAGAACTTGAGGGCTGCTGTCAAGTGAGGTGACCATGTGAAGTTTGAGTGAGAAGCTGACATCTGAGGTGAGACAGGAGGGATGATGGGTAAACTAGAGATGAGTGGTGAGAGAGAGCAGCTGATGATACAAGGTGAACTGTGGGACAGGACGGCTCTTCACCTGGAGCACAGAACTCCTGTGGGAGAGGTATGAGAAAGAAGATGATGTGGACAGTTTAGGGCTGGGTCAAGAAGGAACTTGTGTGCCAGCCTGAGAAGTTTGGGTTTGAATATGCATTCATTATTACATAGACATTGGAGACCATCAAAGGTTTTGAAGAGGTGTAACATCATTCAGATTCTTAACATTTGTCGAATGCTGGCTCTGTACTCACATTCTGGGTCAAGCCCAGCGGGGCATATGAGTACCAGTAAAACATGGGTCTGTCTGGGCTTTCCTCAGGAGTTTGCAGCTGGGGAGAGAGGAAGCATACTAGGTGCTAGGTGCTTAGTACAAGTTCAGTAAGTGTTGGCTGAATGACTTGGGAGTCCTCGTAGACAACTGCAGCAAAGGACCACTGCTGAGGGGGTTCTGAGCTAGAAGACACTACTTGACTTGAGGTCAGGGAAAAGTTGGTGGAAGAGATGACATCTGAATTGGGATATGAAGAGTAGGGAAGTTTTGGACATAGGAAACGTAAGATGGGTATTTCAGGCAAATGAACAGCTTGAGCACAAGGGCTGGGAAATGCAAGATGCCTATAGTGGCTCCCTGCCACTGTCCCAAGTCTGCCTTCCACTGCCACCAGAATGCTCTGTTTAAAAAACAAACAAACCCCAAAACTTGTCACATCATAAATACCTAAAAATTCACAGTGCATTTGTTAAATCTTTTTTTTGGAAATAGAACTGGCCCAAACTTTTGACTCTTACCAGTCAGACATATTTAGTTTTTTTTTTTGTAATTTTAAAGTTGTTAGTGGCTGTGGAGTCTGCTCTGCCTTATGGCGCCCCTGTGGATAATACAGTAAAACATTGCCTGGTCCTGCATCCTCTTCACTTGTTCACATGTGTCTTCGTGTCTCATACTGCCGTCACAGACACCCCACAGGTGGATGGCTTTCTCTAGTAGCTTAACAATATCTTCTCTCACAGTTAGGCTAGAAGTTCAGACTCGGCTTAGGGCAAGATCTTGTCTCCTTTTAGCATCTCTAGGTCCAGCCTCTGTTAGAGATCACTATGTGTCTTGGCATCAGTCTTCCTCTGGATCTAGGAGCTTCACAGTGCAGGGACCCCAGGTTCCAAGGACACACTGTGCACTCCCAGCTCCTCTTTCTTGGTGGTAGTAGGCCCCTTTGAGCTGTGCTTGCTTGTTGAATCTCTTTTAGATCTCAAAAGAAATCGACTCAAGATCGAGTTTAATCCTGTAGATCAACATTAACGTCATGGAAGTGAAGATTGACAGCACATTGAATAATTGCATCAGATCAGCTGATCCCATCAGATCCCATCGTGAGGGTGATCACATTGTTATGTAACTGCCACATGACACCACTGCATTACTGCCAATGCCATTGAGAATCACAGCTCAGCCAAGTTGACACTTTGGGGGGACGCAGTTCAGTCCATGACACTATGTTTGAGTCCATTGTAGCATAGTGGCTATCACTTGTTAAGTGCCATCGAGTCGGTTCTGACCCACAGCCACCCTGTATAGGGTTTTCAAGGGGCAGCTGGTGACTTTGAACCATCAACCCTGCGGTTCAAACTCACATTGCCGTCCAGCGCATTAACCCGCAGTGCCACACCTGCCTTCTACCCCAGGGGACTCATCTTCCAGCACTTTCTCAGACAGTATTCTGTTGTGAGCCGTAAAGTTTTCGTGGGCTAATTTTCGTAAGTAGATCACCAGGCCTTTCTTCCTAGGTTGTCTTCTAGTCTGGAATCTCTGCTGTCACCTGACTAGCATGGATGACTCTGCTGATATTTGAAATACTGCTGGCAGACCTTCCAGCATCACAGCAACACACAAGCCACCACAGTATGACAAGCTAACAGACGGGTGATGGTGTAATTTTAATACTTTCTGCCAAATGCAATCTCTTTCCCCACTCAGTGTCTCAGCTTTATCATCCATGTGAGGCATGCTTGCTTTGAAATGGTTCCTTCTGAGTGGGGCCAGGTCTGGTTGGGTTTTGTCCAAAGCCTTCAGTTGATTTGGTTTCCGAAATTATAATTGTTTTTCTACTCATCTACCATTAAGACCTGTAATGCTGATGGCATCAAAGGAGGGGCTCAAGTTTTGAGCCTAGAAGGTATGACCATGAATAGAAATAGGGGTGATGAGAGGAATTTTTTGTTTTTGGTGAAAGAGGACATTCCCCATGAGACTGAAAAAGTTGTGAGTGGAAATTCTGCCATATTCATGTTTGTATGTCCAGCTGCAAACCCAGTGACTGGAACATAGGAAGCACTTAGGGTAAGTTTTGTTGCACAGCTGAGGGAATGAAGGTATGAGGCATGCTGGGACATGGAGGCTATCCAGGCAGGTTGCAGTGCACTGTTCTTTCCCCTTGGCTTTCTTGAGTTCTGGGGACAGTGAATACTTTGCCCTCACTATCAGCCGGTGGACTGCAGGTCCCAGTGCAGACTGATAATGAGTGCATTTTTCTTAGGGCTGGTTAATTTTTACTTCATAATGAATCATAAGGGAGCACAGTGGCTGTGTAGGATAAGCACTGGACTGTGAGCCACTGGGCTGGTAGTTCCAGTCACTTCCTAGGAGAAGGATGAGGCTTTCAGCTTCCGCAAAGATTCACGGCCTCAGAAACCCCACACGTGATTGCTATGAGTCGGAACAGACTTCTCTCACATGTCCTGGATTTCCAAACGCTTTCCTTTTGAAGAAGCTGCTGCTCTGTGGGAGCAGGAGCTTTTAAAACATTTCTATAACCTCTTTCATATAAATAGGCACCCCAGTGGGATGGAGAGAAATGTCTGGAGGGGTGTGTGTGTTAAACACACCTCCCACCCCTGTCTCTAACATCTCAGCAGATTCCCTTCTTTGTGCCACATGGAGTGTTGGGTTCCTATCGTCTAACCTCAGGCAGTGACTAGAGTTCTTCCTGTTGCGGAAAGTGGGTGGTGAGGATGAATGGGGATTTCAGGACATGTGCCCTGTCTTTTGAAAATGACTTTTGTTCCAATTGACAGTCCTTGGATCCTGTGAGCTGACCACCTGTCCCTGCTCCTGGGCATCTGTAGATGATCTCCTTTTGTGGTCAGTTCTACCCTGTCCCGCTGTCCAGAGTCACTTTGCTCAGGATTCCGTGAGAGGGCGGTAGGGTGGTGAGAATGCGCCTTGCACTCCATCTCCCTCTCCCTCCCTCTGCCGCCTCCAGCTCTGGGAGGGGGTCTGGGCTTAGGAATAGCAGGCACTGATGTCCATGTGACTTGAAAGTGCTGACCACACCAGGGGGCAGTGCCACTACCTACTGAGTGGGGATGGGGTGTGGACTGAGAACTGGTGTGATGGGGATCCCCACAGGGCCTGGACCTCCTTGCTCAGCTTCCCCACCCTCCTACCTCTTCCTGTATTATGTGGATTGCAGGTGCCCCTGCCTTTTATTTTTTTATTAAATGTTTTTATTTTGGATTGAGTGAAAGTTTACAGGGCACATCATCAGCTTCACATTCAACCATTCATATAGCTTGTTTCATTACATTGATTATTATCCCCTCCATATATCATCAGTTAACAGTGTTTCTATCCTCTTTAGCTTTTTTTGGGGGGGGGTGGGGGGTAACTTGCCTTTTTGGAATTTACAGTCTCGGCTTTTAGGGAAGGTTTTTACATTTGTTTGTGGATATCCAGGGCTCATGTATGAGATTACTAACAAGCATTACTGAATAATCAGATGAGGGACAGTTTGCTATGTCTACTAGGTGGCTAAAGTCTGATCCTCAGAGCCTATGGTTTGGACGGTCAACAATGCTTGGGCCCACAGGGTTTTGACCTCCTGATCGGGTCTGCACGGTCTGCATCAGATTCCCCTTATTTATTGTTTGTTTAAGGGACGCTGCCTCTCTTAGGCGGTCAGTGCGAATTCCTCAGTCTTACCCGTCATCGAAACTCATTGCAGCATAGCAATGGCTCTGTCTTAGGTTGCCAAGGTTCCACGTGATCCTTACCTGTCTCTGGCCACACGTCCAGCATAAACAGCCGCCATCCGAGGAAGGCAGGGAGGGAGGAGATCGGCTGGGGACCCCATATGCAAGACGTTGCCAGCCCACCACCTGCTCTAAGGTGACCAAGCAGGATCACTATGCTGAGGTTCAATCAAGTTCTTAGGGGATCTTACTCTCTAGCAGGGGTAGCAAATTAGTAGCCACTCAGTGCTCACTTTGAGAATTACTTATATCAGAAATTTGAGCATGTAGCTGATGAATATCCACAGACAAGTGGATATTATTCCACAACCTCCTAAAATGCTATTGGATTAAGTTCCAATCAAGTTCTGGATTACTGAAAGATAACACAAATCTATTTATACCATGAATAACCTTAGCTGGGAGTGTAATCTGGATATATTGGGTCTTATTTCCCTTAAGCGATCTTCCTTTCTCTAAAGCATTTAGTCTATTTTGTAAACCTTTATCTATTTGC